CATAAGCCAGGGCCACCTTAAAAAGGAATCTGCCAAGTGGGAAGTAACACCAGAGGCCACTGGGCCATTTCCTAATGCGTATGGGGAAAATGATACAAAGGCATTTGCTTTTACAGATAGTAGCCATACAGGTATTTGAAACCCAACTCAAATAAATTCATATACATTGGTCTCGAAGGTAAATGTACACAACATCGAATCCCACCAATTCATTTTCAAGAGGATGAAACTGCTCCCCAAGGAAAGAATGTAATTGGCTTGCCAGAAGTCAATGGTTTGGACAAAAAGTTTGAAAGAATGTCCACGTCTCCCGATTCCTCTCAGTCAGCACTCTTTACTCTGCACCACACTCTCTGGCACATGCGGGTGTATGTGTTTGTGTAACTTGTCTGAAGGAAATAGCTCCACACCCTTCCCTCTCTTACATGAGGTCCCAAGGCCTTCAAAGGTGCCATTTCGACCTCTGCGTGCACCCATCCATCCTTCAATTCTTTCTAACGCTTGTCACTGCTGATGTGCTTCTCTGATATCATGTGCCACTTCCTCCAGATTCCCACGAAGAATACTCAGTTTCCTACCTCTCAGCAGCACAGCTTCCTCCCTGCAACTGCTAACCAGACAGTTTTATCCCTCCCTCCCTCATAACATCGCTGAGCTTCTCGCTCCCACATAACACCCGTGAACAGGTCTCTGTGGCAGAGATTGGGAAAATTGCTCAATTCTCTGAGCCCATGACCCGTTTGCCAAGGTTGAGATTAGCTTAGATACGGCTCGCATCCTTTCTTTCAGACTTGAAACCGTGTCGCTTCCCCAAGTGAAGAAAGTATTCAATTCTCGCACAAATTGTTCCAAAAATGGCTGTCGTTCTCAGTGGGTGGTAGAGACCTTAACTTGTCTAGCCTTTCTGTTGCCGTAATCATAATGGTCATTTATTTATAAGCCCTTCTTTGGAACACTTATTCATTGCAGATTGTTTCCATGGGCTTTCTCCCGTAGGTATTTACACTGAGTAAAACCTTTGTGCATAGGACAGAAGAGCAAATAGGAATAGTTAAGAAGGGGTGCCTGGCTGGCTCAGTCGGAAGAGCATGGGACCCTTAATCTCATGGTCAGGAGTTCGAGACCCACATTAGGTGTAGAGATTACTAAAAAAAAAAAAATAAATAAATAATAATAATAATAATAATAAAACAGAAAGGAATAGTTAAGAAATTACAACTTCTTTTCATAATTATTGGAGCTCCTAGAACAGAAACAAGTCTTAGACTCTCAAATTCATCTCTTTTCTCCCAACTTGAAGATGGAAACATTGTTACATGCTTAGTAGCACACAGTTATAAGTTCACTGTTAACCTTTTGGAAGCTGATCTCCCTACATAGGTCTCTTAGGTTATGATGAATCTGTAAAGCAATGGGCTCCTTTGGGGAATAGTCACCTACTGAACATTCATTCGTTTAGAGAATAAGTATTTCCTAAGCAACTACAATGAATTCCTCTCGGTTTTATGCATTAGGGATACAGCAGTGAACAACCCAGACAAAATCTCTGTCCTTGTGGAGTTTATATTCCAGTCAGAAGAGCAAACAATAAATAGGATTAACAAATAAAATATCAACTATGTTAGTGATAAGGACTAAGAAGAAAACATGGGCAGGGAAGGAAATCCGTGAAAGTGACTATTGTAGGCTATAGAAGCCGGGTCTGACTTCATGAAGAAGGTTGGTTAAGAGTGGGTTTTGCAAGTGAAGTATGTCAAAGGTTGAGGAAGAGGAAGATGGAGAGGGGAAAGAACATGAGAAAAGTGTAGGGTTTAAAAGGAGATAAGCATTTTCAGGAGACAAAGAGGAACTTAGCCTCTATGCGTGTAATATATTTTCCAAGATGTGGAGGAATGTAGAATAGAATTCCTATCACAGAAGATGTTGAAACCCAAGTAGAGGCATCTATCTACCATCTCCATTGGTGAGATTCGGACACTCTGCTGGCCTTATAGGGGTTTAACTGTAAAATGACACATCACAAATTTATGGTATGAGAAGCATCAAATTTTAGAGCATAATGTCCCAGTTGAGCAACTGAGAACAGAGAAATGGACTGAAATTTCCAAGGTCATACCACTAGCAAGTGGCAGAGTAAAGTGTGGGAGTCATATATTCTTTCTTTCCTTCTTTCCTTCCCTCCTTTTTCTCCTCCTTCCCTCTTTCCTCTCCTCCCTCCTTCTTCTCCTTCCCTCCCTCCCTCTTTCCCTCTTCCCTTCCCTCCCTCCTTCCTTCCCTCCTTCCTTTCTTTCTTCCTTTCTTCACTTCTTCCTCCCCTCCTTTTTTCCTGCCCTGCTGCTTTCCTTTTAAATCCCCCTCATCGCCAAAAAAACCTCTCTTTTGTGAGCTGAAGAATTCTTGTGTTTGAGATGAGGTCCATTTACTCTGGGAATTAAAGACAGTAGGCAAGTCAGCCTTTGATGTTTTCTTCTTTGGACCAACTAACACCAACCTATTCAATATTTTGAAGGTGAAGAACTTGGTAAATAAACCCCAGTCAAAGCTTTTTAGACTCTTTTCCTCAGTTCTTCCTAGTGGTAATTTCATCCTCCTTTTTATCACCTCACAGCATCTCTGTCTAAAGGACAAGTTTTTTTCTGCACCGCCTCTTTGTGGCTTCTCTGCGTCACAAGCTTAATTTATTCATTTAATTTGCCTTAAAAGGCACAAACAGTGGATGAAGAGCCGGGTGCTCTGGGTTAACAACTTCTCAAAGTGCCGGCTGCTGTCTCTCCTTGGAGGATATTTTTGCTGTTGGGCTGGACACGAAGTGAAAGAATTTAGCTCAGACAACAGTAACTATGTATTCTTTGTCTCTGGTTATGTTTTGTCTGTAGCAAGCAGAGGCATCCAAAACAATTTCATTGACCTAGGAAGGCATCTTATGTTCCGGATGTTCTTCTCAAAAATAGCTGTTTTAGGGCCTAAATTGTTGAATACCTCCCTAATGATCTTGTTTTTAAGTCCTTGAAGAATAAGAAGTCTAAGGAAACTGGCATTCTTCTTATTCTTTTTCTGTTGTTTTCCTTTGCTCCAACAATTAAAAAAATTTTTTTTAATGTGTATTTATTTTTTGAAAGAGAGAGAGACAGGCGGAGCATGAGCAGGGAAGGGGCAGAGAGAGAGGGAGACACAGAATCCCAAGCAGGCTCCAGGCTCTGAGCTGTCAGCACAGAGACTGACATGGGGCTGGAACTCACGGACTATGAGGTCATGACCTGAGCCAAAGTTGGACACTCAATGGACTGAACCACCCAGGCACCCCTCCCTTGCTCTAACAATTAAAAGCACAGCGATGAAGATGAAGCTGTTGATGGCAGCTCTGGGGAGTAGACGGATGAGACCCCGAAGAGCTCTGGTCCCACTTCTACTTGTTCACTGTACAGGCTGAGTGAGAGTAGCAGGAGGGAAGAGGCAGGACGGAGTATAAGCCAGTGAATGTACCTCTAGGTACATCAGCCTCAAGGCTTTGTAAGCTCTATTTGGACAGCTGAGTGATTTTTTCCCCTCCTTCTTCCTCTTTGAATAAGTGGCTAGTGCCATCAGAATGCATCTTTGGGAGGAACACAAGAGAGGTTGAGTGGGCAGTGTTAAATGACATATAAATGCATTGGGGCACCTGGATGGCTCAGTCGGTTGAGCCTCTGATTCGATTTTGGCTCAGGTCATGGTCTCAACAGTTGTGGGGCTGAGCCCCACATCAGCGTGGAGCCTGCTTAGTATTCTCTCTCCCTCTCCCTCCCCCACCCCGCCTCTCTAAAATAAAAACTAAAAACAAAGAAAAAAGAAAAAAATATATAAATGCATTGATACACCAAGGCAATAACTCATAGCTATGGAGAAACCCCGGTTGACAAATCAGAAAGTAATGATCCTGGAGGTTGTGACTGCTAATTGCATAAGGCCACATCTCCTTGTTGTTTGTATTATGGGAATTCTTTTCCAAGAGAAATCTTATGCAGATCCCTAATACATAAAACAGGAAATGAAACAAAACAAACAACAAACTCAGAATGACTGTAGTTGGAGTGACATCTTGGCTGTGGCACCTTAGAAAAAGTTGTTTAACCTTTCAGACCTGGAAATTCTTCACGCATCTCTATGAAGATCAAATAAAGTGAATTGTATACATTGCAAATGTAAAGCTATTCTAATTTTTTTAACATTTATCTATTTTTGAGAGACAGAGAGAGACAGAGTGCAAGTGGGGGAGGGGCAGAGAGAGGAGGAGACACAGAACGTGAAGCAAGCTCCAGGCTCTGAGCTGTCAGCACAGAGCCCGACGCGGGGCTCGAACTCACAAACCGTGAGATCATGACTTAAGCCAAAGTCAGATGCCCAACCGACTGAGCCACCCAGGCACCCCTAAAGATATTCTAATTTTAATGGAAGCTTCTGAGAGGCAACATCATTAAGGATTAGAGAAAGTTTATTTTGTTCTGTTTTGTTTTGTTTTGTTTTGTTTTGTTTTATACAGAGAGCATGCACTCCAGCAGGGGAGAGGGGCAGAGGGAGAGAGAGAGAGAGAGAGAGAGAGAATCTTAACCAAGCTCCTCACTCAGCACAGATCCCACAACCCTGGGATTATGACGTGAGCCAAAGTTAAGAGTCAGACACTCAACTGACTGAGCCACCTACATGCCCCCAAAAGTTGTTTTTTAATATAGTATGTCAACTTTCATGAGAAGTAGCAGTTCTTTTAAGTTAGAAGAACTTTCTCAATGTCCTTTACATCATAAGATGTTCGAAATTGCCAGATTTGCTGATTTGAAAGACTTGCCCTGGTATATTTCAGAACATTTTTTTTTTTTCTTTTGGAAGACAGAGGAAGGGCTGGATATCTCCTCCCTCTTCCTGGATGGGCACAGAGGTCATGCTCCTTGATGCAGAGCTGGGGAGTTGTGGGGCAACCCTGGGGTGGCTTCTGAACGGACGATGAGGGTGCTATCACTGTGTTTCAGCTCTCAGAAGAACAGCATTACGTGGCGGGAGGCCCTGAAGTCTGAGCCAGGGCCATGGAGGGCTCTGTGCTGAGCCCCACGTCCTGGGAGAAGCGGCGGGCCTGGCTCCGGCAGAGCCGCCACTGGCAGACCCAGGTCTTGGAAGAGGAGGCCGGGGCTGTCCTGCAAGATGTCTCAGATCCTGAGCCTTCCAGCCTGGATGACGTTTTCCAGGAAGGTAAGAGGCAGTTAGACCACAAATAGACTTCCACATCGCCTGGTGCTGGGGAAAATGTGCCCACGGGCACAGGTCTGCAGAGTGTGGGCAGTGGTTTCCTGGGTGAGGCTAGGCCTTCAGAGAGGCTCATTTTGATGGGTTTAATGAGTTTAAAGGAAGAAGAGTGAAATGATACAAGATATAGATTGTGGGAGAGAGAGAGAGATAGGCATAAGATGAGGAACAAGAAAGCACATTGTTGCATCATCCCGGGCTATAAGGGCCTGAGGTCAGGGTTCTCTTGAATGCTTTGGGGCATTTTTATTTTGTCTGTGCAACAAGGTTACACTCAAGTGGATGCTGGGACTCTGACTTCAACTCCGCTGCTAGGGAGCTGTGTGACCTTTGGCTAGTCACTTACCTCTCAAAAGCGTGTTTGTCTGATTGAAGTGGTCATACCTCAAGTCGTGGCAGTACGTTTTCTACGTGCCTGTCACAGCTTCTTAGAGGTTCAAATGAGACTGTAGACCTAAGGGTTAAAAAAAAAAAAAAAACTTTTATATAAATAAATCCATCCTTGCTTATTTGGCAGAAAACAAAAGTGTAAGCACAAAATTCTGATTTTGTGTTGTCTTTTTCTATTTATTATCATTATTTTTAAATTTTGTTAGAGAAGAATCCACCCCTGTTCCCAAACCTTGAGGAAAAGGGAGCCGTGGGCCTGCCATCCTGGGCATTTTCCACAATCCAGGCAGAAGGGGGCGGGAAGCAGAGAGAGAAGAAACACCCACTATTTTTATACATGGGAGAATTCTCTCATCTCTTACAGAAAAGCTTTGTGGGGGGAAAGGGGTCATGGTACGGCTTACATAAGGACAAACTTGCAGAACAGGCTGAGTTACAGGGAGGAAGCCTGGCCTCCTTTAGCTCTCACGGCGATCTGCTCTCTGCTATTTCCAGGGAATCCGATCAGTAAGATTGAAGACTGGCTACAGGACTGCGGGTAAGTGCCAGACGGGCGGTGACAGTGAGTGGGGTTGATGGCTAAATCTGCGAACAGGCCCTGACTCTTGGGAGCTCAGAGACAGGGAAACGGGTTTGACTGGGCTTCATGGTTAGATGTGAGGTGGAAATGGTGGGGGTGGGGGTGTGGATTGCAAGGGTTTGGGGCGAATGTGAGGAGTGGGCCATGAATGAAGCACAGCTCTGGGCTGAGACTAAGTTAGGAGCGGAGGCTTGGAAATCCAGACTGGATGCGGTCTAGAGTCCAGAATGATGGACATCTGCAGTTATGGGCACTGTCCGGGCTTTTCAGATCCCTTCTCCATTGCTTCTTCTTCAGACTGAAGTCTGACACTGTATAACAAAATAGGAGTTAGAAACCCAATTGTCCTTTTTTTTTTTTTTTTTTAACTTATTTAAAATCAAGTTAGTTCGCATGCAGTGCAGTATTGGTTTCTGGAGTAGAACCCAGTGATTCATCACTTACATATCACAGCCAGTGCTCATCACAACAAATGCCCTCCTTAATGCCCATCACCCATCTAGCCCATACCCCCACCCACCAGCCCTCCAGCAACCCTCAGTTTGTTCTCTGTATTTAAGAGTCTCATATGGTTTGACTCCCTCTCTTTTTATCTTATTTTTCCTTCCCTTCCCCTAGGTTCATCTGTTTTGTTTCCTAAATTCCACATATGAGTGAAATCGTATGATATTTCTCAGAAACCTCATTGTTCTTATCATCATAGGAATTCATCACTGTGTTAATTTCTACTACAAAACGCAGGAAGATAGGCTGTGGGTTTACCCCAGTCATTGAAACCAGAACTGGAGAAGGTACTTCAGGGCAAAATACAGTATCTCTCTCCTCAGAAACAGTAAAATACGAGACCCCACACTTCATCAGTACCTAACCCTAACCCTAACCCTACTTTTAAGTAGGCTCAGTCTACCCAGAGGGAAAGCTTCTATGCCCTACTTAATCCTGATCCTCTGTGTGATGATGCTGAGAATGCGGCTCCTTAGTTCCCCTTCAGGAATGTTTCAAACTTTATACGGCCTTCAATCTATAAAGTCTGGGGACCTGTTAACATATCAATAAACCCATCCTTGCTTATTTGGTAGGAAATGAATCATCTAAGGTTATTTATTTCAATTCTGCCCCGGAAGGTAATGCCAGGAGGGATTTATTTTGTGTTTTCGTGGTTTACAAAACATATTGTCCTTCTTGTCCTAATCTGGTTCACAATTCATTGACTTCAAAGTCAGTAAAGGGTCCTCAAAGTTCAGAAAGTTGAAGGGGTGGTGGTAATAGGAGTGCTGGCACTTTTTGGTGCATCACAACTGTCCTAGGATTTAGAACGCCTCACCTGGTACCTACCGGAGAACCAGTCAGCTCCTGGTCTTTCTATCATGAACTATTCTTGAGTCAATTTAAATTCATCAATAATTGTTGACAGCATATTTGCTGATAATGTCTGATCGTCTAAATGTCCTCCGAGGGGGCCAAGTAGTTTAAAATATGCTCCTTGAGGGGCGCCTGGGTGGCGCAGTCGGTTAAGCGTCCGGCTTCAGCCAGGTCACGATCTCGCGGTCCGGGAGTTTGAGCCCCGCGTCGGGCTCTGGGCTGATGGCTCAGAGCCTGGAGCCTGTTTCCGATTCTGTGTCTCCCTCTCTCTCTGCCCCTCGCCCGTTCATGCTCTGTCTCTCTCTGTCCCAAAAATAAATAAACGTTGAAAAAAAAAAAAATTTAAAAAAAAAAAAAAAAAAGTAAAATATGTTCCTTGACTCAAAACATACTACCTTCCAGCTGAAAAGAATAAATTCACAGAAACACAAGATTGTAAACTCCAGAAATTACGTTCCCCCCCCCCATATTTTACAAAAATAAACCCTAAACAAAACATGGGCTGAAAAAAATAGTCTGGTGAGTAAAATGGCTCCAGGATTTGAGCCAAAAGTTGTGCTATCTGTGGAACCACCTGTAAGAAAACAGTCAATGCTCCTTCTATTTCAGACTCCTTGCCTAGAAAGTAGAGACCTAGAATAATAAAGTTTCAACGTTTCTTGTGAGATTTAAATGATATAGTATATGCACAAATGCTTTATGCTCTGTAGTAATACGTGAGCAGGTGAGGTTTATAAAGGCGGGGCTTTGTGCTACTTGAAAATTTCACAAAATAGACCTGCCTATATACTTAGCATCTGTCTGTCTAAATCTCTTTATTTCTCAGAAAAGTATGTGCAGAAGGGATACATGCCAACTCGAGGATAGTGGCCACCTCTGGGAAGGAATGGGAGTAAAATGAGGCTGTAGTTATATTTTTAATATTATATTTTTATTTTTATTAAGAGAGTTCAGGAACAAATATGACAGAATGCTTACAGGTGTGAAAGTAGGGTGGCAAGTGCAAGGCTATCTGTCATTTTTTCTTTACCTTTTGATGTGTTGAAAAAAATTTAATTGTGAAACTTTAAAAAGCCCACAGGAAAGTCTCTTAATACACATTTGTCAGGGTGCCTGGGTGACTCAGTCAGTTAAGCATTCAACTCTTGATTTCGATTCAGCTCATGATCTCACGGTTTATGAGTTCAAGCCCCACACTGGGCTCTGTGCCCAGAGTGCAGAGCCTGCTTGGGGTTCTCTCTCTCTCTCTCTCTCCCCCTCAATATAAATAAATAAACTTAAAAAAAAAACTACATTTGTCTCTGAAGGGGGAATTATCAGGTTTATAAAATATTTCCAATTATGTCTATTTTTGAATCCTCCCTAATACAAACGTAATACTTTTTAGTTATATGAGATAATTAGAAAAATTAAAGGTTGATGATGATTGACGGTAGCAAGAGAACACTTGATTTTGGTAATAGACATTGAAGAAGATAGGGAAAATGCATTCCAGATATGACTTTCTGAGTCACCACAGTGTTCAATTCTTAGGCTGCCAAGACCACAGACGAGACAAGATGAACGAGGAGCCCACATTCACCGGATACCTGTCCACTCTGTTGACAGGTGCTTGGATGCACTTCTCAAATTTTATTTCAAGGCTCTATGGTTTCCATTTTCTTTCCAGTGCCAAATAAACATTCTCCGATAGCAACACGGTTTTGTTTTCGGACAGGCTCTCCAAGAAAACCTGCCAACTTCCTGGGTAATTTAGTGTCAGTGTCTCTCAGTGTATTGAATCCAATGGCAGACCATTCTGCTGCAGGTCTAGATCATGTATATCTTCACAAACTATGCCTCTCCTTTTTCTTTCTCCTCTTAAAGCTCCCAGGGGGGTTTCTAGGATATGAGTGTGTTGCTTGTGCATCATGAGAGGTAGGGTTGGGAGCCCAGAAATCATCTGTGTGGACTTGAGCTTAAATCTCACAGGCAAGATCTATGGAAATTGCTGGAAGAAGCTAAAAGGAGTCACATCCTTCTTTTCACAGTCCTATCCTCCCTCCTAATTTTGCTTAGGAACTCGCTATACAAGACAAGCAGTACCTTGGCTCTCCTATTTCAGACTTGAGATGATGCAAAGGGATCTTTCAGTGGAAGACAGAGAGGAGCAGCTACGGATCTAGTTCCTAGTCATGGGTTTTATGTCCTAAGCATTAATACATGAAAGGCCTGGTACTTGGGTGATGGCCATGAAGTTTTCAGTCATCTTCAGGTCAATCAGTAGATCCAGACTCATGTCCGTACTTCTGTAGTAGATTCCACCTACACACAGCCTACTGTCCCAAAGCTCATCCTGGGCTGGTCCTCATATAGAGAATATGAACACGCCTGCCAGGGCACAACCAGAGAAGAGACATGTAGGCTGAACACCCAACAAAACCTCGTATTTAGTGAATAGCACTGAGTTTTGCTTGGACACCCCAGAAATTTTACCTGCGGTATTTTTTAAAGTAAATTTTATTGAAGTATAGCATACATATCAATTGAATTTTTCTTTTTAATATAACTGTAGTACAGCTCAACAGGTATACGTTTCAGTTACACTAGATGAGTGAGTCTTAGAGCTCTACACAACATAGTGCCTATATTAACAGTGCGGTATTGTTAACAATGCAGTATTGTGTGCTTCAAAGTTTGTTGAGGGTAGGTCTCCTGTTAAATGTTCATTCTTTTTTGTCGTTGTGAAGCATTAATTTATCATACGATTTGTCCATTTTACAATAGAGATTTGGTGTCTCCCAGTTCTGGAGGGCTTTGATACTTGCATTACATGTAGCTACATCGCAAGCATTAAATGCAATAGTCAACCTCACTATTCTAATAGTTGACTTTACATGTTGTGGTTCTTTAGTAGTAATAGTAAATATAAATTTATACTGATATTTTTAATAGTGTATATACTAACATATATGTTCATAATATTATATTAAAATCTATTTTTGTGTCATCTGTTAGGAAGAGAAGCACATTTATAGAGTTACCCATTCTTTTTTCTTTTTTTTTAATTTTAATTCAAGTTAGTTAACATATCGTGTGGTGTAGGTTTCAGGAGTAGAATTTAGTGGTTCATCACTTACAAATAATACCCAGTTCTCATCCCAACAAGTCCCTTCCTTAATGCCCACCACCCATTTAGCCCATCCCGCCCCCCACTAGCCTTCCAGCAACCCTCAGTTTGTTCTCTGTATTTAAGAGTCTCTTACGGTTTGACTTTTATCTTATTTTTCCTTCCCTTCCCTTATGTTCATCTGTTTTGTTTCTTAAATTTCACGTATGAGTGAAATCATATGAGAGTTAACCATCCTTAATTAGCTTGTATGTTACATTATTTTATAATGTACCTTGATGTGCAGTTTTTTTTTCATGAAGACGTAAAAATACAGATTTTGGAAAACATGACTGATTTTTCACTATTGAAATGAAGGTGCCAATAAAAGATGTCTATATATGCAGTGATTTATTTTGCAAAACTTAAACACAACTTGATCTGTGGGTGTTCAGTTAGTAAACTCATTACCATTAATGAGTAATTAAACATTTCACTGAGTGATTACATACTGAGGTTAGACTCAAAGCATCATGTGCAACTTCCCGTTTAAAAACTTTCAGGAAAATGAACGCTGTAAAACTCACAACATATTAGTCCTTGGAAGCAGACATATCTAGGTATCCACATCCTCTTATGTAATATCTGAGAACAGAACAGCAGCCAGGAAGCAGGAATGCAATCACCTGTTTCAGACACAGAATTCTTCCTGGTTGGTAAAACTGAGTTGTTTCTCACTAGCAAGTATGCTGATTTCTGTCTGTTCCTCTTGTGGAGATGGTAAATGTTTGATAAGATCATACCTCAAAATGTAAAATCAGAATCTCTAACCAAAACGCAGTTTCTGCTGCTTCCTGAGAGATATGATCATGGCTCAGAGAGAAGGAAGAGGGTGTGGGGAGTCAAGTTGACCACTTCTTACAAGTCAAAAACTATCAACACTTGTATCTGTCATGTGGAAATTATGGCACCCCTAAGCACTGCTACTATAAATGTATTTCTCTGGTTTTGTTTCTCTGTTTTTTCTTTCCTGTTTTACCTAGCAACTGCAGACTTGTCGCTTTCTGAGCTGACTTTGGACGGAGTGGTCAGTACAATAGCAGCCCAATCTAAAATACAGTGCACCCTAGTCCCACTTCCCCTGACTACTTCTACGAATTTGTCAAATAGCCACTCTGTCTTAGCTTTCTTCAACATAAAGGCAGTTAAGTACTGCTGGTTCGCATTGGAAAATTATGTGAACTTGTGAGACTTATTTGAGGAAAAGCACCTTGGAAAATGTAGTGACTTCAACCCTCATTTGTGCTCCTCAGGTACTCTGAAGAAGGGTTTTTTGAGGAAACAGGACAGTCAGGCTACAGTGGTGAGTATAGGCTCTCTTCTTTCTTCTATTATTCTTCTATCTGGACAGTGATAGCTGTGTGTGTGTGTGTGTGTGTGTGTGTGAGAGAGAGAAAGAGAGAGAGAGAGTATATATACATGCACACACATATGCACATATAAGAATGATGACTGCCTTTTAACTGTCTATAAAACACCTATTAGTAGTCACAAGGCAGTCTACGAGGTCCAAAAGACTAAGCACTGGCTCAGCTGACAGGCTGACTAGTACTCAAAGATTATCTTCTGTTAGTGGTTGTTCAGCTACCAACCACCATTACAGGAAAAGAGCTTTATAAGATGTGTGTGTTTATGTGTGTGAGTGTGAGTACACACCTCCATGTGCTCACTACCTGACAGAGGATCGTGTACATGACTATGTGATATAGGAGACAGGTTAATTACAGGTGATTGTTTCAGTCTTTCTAAATCAAAATATAAATGTGATTTCTGAAGTAGTGTATGTATAGCTGGGGGGAGTTTTGCAAACATGTGGTGTCTGATGTGATTATGTGTTTATAGATGTTCATGTATATAAATGTGTGTGTGTGTGTGCATGTGTGTGTAAGCCTGTTTTCTGTGACCTTTGCCTTATTCCACAGGGTGCCTCAGCCATGGAACCAGCTTTGAAGATGATTTGACCCTAGGAGCAGAGGGTAAGTGGCACAGCTCTCTGATGTTGGAATCAAAGAAGAGGTTATACATTAGATACTTAAGAAATGAAAGGGTAGAATGCAAAGGGAGAACTGTGGAAAAAAGAAACCCATTCACTGGGGTCTTATCTGTAGGAAAAAAGCAGTCTCGTTACGACGTAAGGTAAAACTCATAAAGCATCATGTGTCCAGACATACTTCCTCACCAACCTCACATGATGCCTACCAGTCCATCATGAGGGCTTTCATTTGGCTCCTGGGAAGATTACATATAAAATCACCATAACATTGGCTGCCCAGACATCACTGAATCTGTATAGGAAGCGTAAAGCAGACTAAATACTGGGTATAAGAGAGAGATTGCCTGCAAGAAGATGACGGTTTAAATAAAGGAGGGAGGTATTGCAATGTACCTGTGTCTCCCGGGACCTGTAGAGGCTCACACTGTGGGGCAGGAACACTAGCCTAGAAGGCTGAATGATGTTACCCTCCTCAGGACAGAGAAACTCTGGCCTAGACACCAGTCATCGTTTTTATAAGTTCAGAGGCTTAGGGCCACTTGTTCTCTGCCATGTCTGCCCCCCTTCCAGGTCTATGTTTGATGATCTTTAGATACTCCCATGAAGAGCAGAGTTCATGGGGTTCAGCAAGCCTGTAGTAGTGGCAGAGAGGAATGGAGGGGGCTGAGTTTTAAGTTCAGAGAGGCAGCATAGGTGATTTTCATTTTCCCTTCTAACTTTCTTTTTGCCTTTTTGTTCCTTGCCCAGCCACACTGCTGGCCGCCCATGGCAAAGTCTTCTCCAGGTAAGTGTTAGGGTCACCCAGACTGAATGATGTCTCTGTCAGGAGCTACTGAACTAGGGTAGGTGTCAGAGTCAAAGAGATCAAACACAAAGAGCTAAAGGGTCACCATAGAGAGTGAGATTTTCCAACTAGGAATGAGGCCCTAGACTGAGTTTGTGCAGTAGACGGTAGAAGGTACACAGCAGGGGGGTAAATATGCCCAGCAGAGCACGTCTTGGAACCAGGATGTAGACTGCTGACAAGAGTCATGTGACATCAGCTCTTATCCCTGCAGGAGTCTCCTGGAGACACCCCGGCCCTTCCAGCTACTGGATCTTGGCTGCAGTTTGGCTTCCAGCAGCATGACCAGTGGGACCAACAAGACTAGTTCAAGGTAGATACCAGGTGTGGCAGGGTTGTACGAGTGGGGAAGAGGAGAGGCAGAAGAGAATGGAACCAAGAACCCTTGCCCATTTTTTCTTGGATACCTTACTGGAGATTTTATGCAGTCACGTACTTGAGAAGTATGTCCACATTTGCTTCAAGAACAACGGGCAGGGGGCAGTGCAGAGGAATCCATGGCTCAGAGCTGGAATGCTGTGTCAAACAGAGGTGAACTTGTACCCCAGGAGGTGTAGTATGGGTATCACCACAGTTCCTAGACTTATAGCAATTCTTTACAGTAAATGCATTGATTGATTGATTTGTTGATTGAATGAAGCAATTAAATATTGATTCACTCAGGCAATTTTGTATCTCCTTATGCAGATGGGGCAATGACTATGTGAAATTTGAAAAAGTGAAGCAAAGTGCTTGCCCCCAGGAGCTCCAGTCAAGTAGGGTGAACAAAAGACAAACACAAACAACTTTAAGGTGGAAAGTTATGAAAAACAAAGCAGTGTGATAACAAGTGTTTGGAATTTGGTGTCAAGGTTTGAACTTGAGACCCAGTTCTCAGATTTATTAGCCATGTGCCTATCTTTAGTGATTTGTCCTCACTAAGCCTCTACCCTGGCCACATCCCACTTCAGTTGAGTCAGAATCTCTGGAGACTCAGATATCTGTACTTTTTTACTGAAATATGCTTGACATACAATATTATATTAGTTTCATGTGTGTAACATAGTGATTCAACACTTCTACACATTACACTGTATAAGATAGGATAAGTGTGGTAACCATCTGTCACCATAACAATGTTGTTACAATATTACCGACTATATCCCCTATCCTGTACTTTCATCCCCATGACTTATTCATGTGGAATGCATAGTTATTGAGCTCTAGTGTCACCAGCTTGGTGGTACACAGCTTTGGATGTAGAGACATGTTAGTGCCACACTGAGAGAGACAGAGAGAGCTTGATCTTCTGTAATGCAGGGTTTCTGTCCTGAAAAAAATAGTGCTACAAAATCAGGTTTTGAACATTGGTTAATTTTTACCTCAGGGTAAGAATAAAATGAGTTTTGTGTTTCTTACACACTCAGTGCCTCGTTGTCCCACACAACCATCAGGGTAAGTTGAGTAGCAAGCCACAAAGCATTTGGCAAAAGCCAGCGAAATCATAGTATGTGCAGGTGGGAACTGACTGATTAATAACCCATAACCATAAGATTTCTTTAAATCTATGATGTTTTCAATTTTTTATATCCCTCTCATAGCAAATTTTCATTCATCTGTGATGTTTAAAGTACTATGATAGAGTCTAATTGGATTTTTAAACCAGGGCTGGATTGTAATTCCCATGTTTAGACCAAAAATGTAGGTTCACGGAAGGGAAAGCTTTTCTCAAAGTCAAAATGGAAGCTAGAGAAAGGATCAGAAAGATATGTAAGTCTTTTATTAGATACTCTGGATGACCTTGAAACTCAGAGTTGCCCCTATTTACCGAACCTCCCTCCTTTCAGCATCTCTGAGATTCTGGACAAGGTGCAAGAAGATGCAGAAGACATCCTCTTCAGTCTGGGCTTTGGCCAAGAGGACCACAAGGACAGTTCTCGGATTCCTGCCCGATTTTTCACTACCCCTTCTCAGGCCAAAGGCATTGATTTCCAACTCTTCCTGAAGGCCCAGGTGCGGAGGGTTGAGACGGAGGACCCTTGCCTCATGCTGGCCAGTGAGTGTTACCATAGGCCCGCTCTACTTCGCCGCCATTCACAACAGTGGCTCTAGATGCTACTTCCTCTTGGTCAGTTTCACCGACCCTTTGTTTCTTGTGTCTGTTTCCTTGCTGCTGTTTTCAATGTGGAGAATTTTGATGTATGCCTCTCCCTCTTAAAGAAATAGTCTTGAAGACACTTCATATCACTACTACTTTCTTAGGCCTTCTCTCCTTTAGCTGAATCAAATGAGAACAATGTTTTTACCTCTTATCCCCATTTTTATTTCTCAGTTGGAATGATAGAATGTTCCTCATTTATAGCCACTGGATTAAAATCACTTCCCTTTAGGGCAATTGTTCTCATCAGTTGGAACAATAGAACGTTCCTCATTTATAGCCACTGTATTAAAATCACTTCCCTTTAGGGCAATTGTTCTCAAAGTTAAATATGTTAGATTGTCCAGAGACTTTATAAAACATTCATATTCATAGGCTTTTTTTTTTTTTTCCACAGAGGGAGAGGCTCAGGAGTATTTATTTTAAACAAGCACACAGGATTCTTATGTGTAATCCTTAGACCACATCCAGGGTAACAATTATTTAAATTGTCCTGATTCCATACTAAGGAAAGATATGAGAGGACTTCTCTAGCTGGATGAGGGATAAAAGACTCTATTTGATTCTTTTTTTAATGTTTATTTATTTATTTTGAGAGAGAGAGAGAGAGATACAGCAAGCACAAGCAGGGATGGGGCAGAGAGAGAGGAGAGAGAGAGATAGAATCCCAAGCAGGCTCTGTTCTGTCAGAAAGGAGCCTGGCATGGAACTCAGTCTCACAAACCATGAAATCATGACCTGATCCAAAATCAAGAGTCAGACGCTTAACCAGCTAAGCCACCCAGGTGCCCCTCTATTTGACTCTATATGTTAGATTATGTTTCAAATTATATTCTGTGACATCCTCAACATGATTGTGTTTCTGACAGTGTTGTTTCAGAGTCTTTGCATCAGATTCAACTTGAAATAATCTTGGTAAAATTACGTTCCTGAGTTCGACCTGCTGCAACAATGATTTTGAGTTGGAGTATTTTCACAACCTTAGATGATTCTTATGCACACTAAAATTAGAGGATAATTTATTGAATTTATTTTAAGTGCCAAGTACATAATTAGATGTTAAATTCTGGAAGAACAGACTAGAGAAGAGGAACATGATTCTTGCCTTTTGGAAGTTTTACACCGTAATAGACGTATGGTTTATCACAGTGCTTTTCAAACACGGATATGCGCATGAATTACCAAAGGAGATTATTAAAATGCTTGAGATACAGTCTGAGATTCTACATTTATAACGGGTTCCTAAGCAGTGCCCATGCTTCTGGACCAGGGACCACACTTTGTGAAGCAAGGTCTAATAAAATGGTATAGTCCATGAATAGGAGCCCCACATTGGGTGTAGCGTTTACTTTGAAAAAAATGATACAGTCCATCTAAATTTCTGTACCCTAGTCCACTGGCTAATAATTGCCATTCTTCAAATTTGTCGCTGTCCAGAAGCCTTCTAGAACCCTAAAGTTTTGTTACTAAGAAAATGATGTTGATTTTGTCCTTTTTTGTTATGTTTGTCATCTAATGCAAACAGTACTAGAAGCCATTGTTTAGAATATACTGACATCAGAAAGGATATGTTAAATCAGGATGCAGAAAAGCTCCTCATCCCATACAGAATTAATTTTTGGGCTGAAGGAAATCATCTATTCAGGATGGTGAATCAAGAAGTCAAGAAAGTGAAGAAGGGGGATCCTGGGTGTGAGAAATCTAAATGGGAGAAACACTGCTGGGAAATATGGCATCTTCTTTCTGAATTTTGAGCCTTGGGAAGGTTATTGAAGGAAGATATACCAGGGATAATTTACTGATGACCCCCAGATTCACCATCTTTAACCCTTGTGCCCAGGCAGGTTTAAGCAGGTGCAAACACTGGCCGTCACTGCTGATGCCTTCTTCTGTCTCTACTCCTATGTGTCTAAGACACCTGTCCAAAAGTTCACACCATCCCACATGTTCTGGAACTGCAACCCTGATGTGCCATCCATCAAGATTCTGGCTCCACAACCTGAACCTCTCTCACCCAGAGACCGCCTCCGGAAAGCCATCTCCAAGATGTGCCTGTATACATGTCCCCGAGATCGGCTATCAGCACCCCATAATATCACAAAAAAGAACAGTTTGGACCAAGTGGTATGGGAAGTGATGGACAGAGTGAGAGGAGATAAACTGGTCTTCCAACAAGACCTTGGGTTTGGGCCAGGCTCAGAGGAAGATCCTGTTCCTCCCACCAGGGACACAAAGCTGCCCACTTCTTCTGGTCCATGTGCCCTTTGCCATAAAGAGGAAACACAGCAGGGGATATCCACAATGCAAACACCATCACAAACTCTGGATTCGAACCCAGAGGCAACCTGTTGCACACATTCTTTGCCCAAAGCAGATCTACAGTGGAGCACAGACCCTGCACAGGTGAAGAGAGAGCTGTGGGGTCTACAGGCCACCAGTAAGGAAGTCCATTTAGCCAAGGATGCAACTTTCTGGAAAAGAAAGAGCAGAGCAAGAAAGAGCCTGTTTCAGGAGAATCCCATGAGCAGGATGGTTAAGTCATTGGACTTGTCCATCATCCAGCAGAGCCAAGAACGCCCAGCACTGCACCCATCTCTAACCCAGCAGCTGCAGGACACTTGTGACTTGGAGGACATGAGAGGGTTGGGGGCAGGAGGGAGGCCGGCAGAGAAAGGCTTTGTATTCTTGCCATTGGGTAAAGGGAATCCAGGCTCCCTGTCCTCGCCAGATATCCCAATTCTTGAACTACATTCGGAAACTTTTGGGAGTAGGTTAATGGAGAAGGATTAATAGGTGTGATTTCTTAAGAGCATCCAGGTTTCCAGAACTTTTCTAATTCCTCATCTGATCTGACCTTCACTGAAGTTTCTCATCAAGCACACCTGTCTATCATTTGTGGGATCAGCACAAGAGTATAAATAGAGGTCGATTATACACTAAGCTAAACACTATGAAATAAAGTATGTTCTCTTCTACATCAATAAATATGTAACCATAAAGACCTGGAAGTCCAGGTTCAAATTTAAATTCTCAGACTCTTCGGACTTCTGTGCTAGAACACAGCAGTGTGGGCAGAGCCACTCCCTAGTCCTTGGACTGTCACCTTCTCTTCCCACGCCCAGATCTGTCCTAAACCACAAAGACTTTGCTTATAGATGTGTGAGCACCCCAGCCTGCATATCCAAAAGCTACACACCCTCTACTCACAAAAATAGCCATCCGCTGGTCATCACTCATGCCTAGGAGTGCATACGTTAGTCCAGAGGTTAACCTTTTAAGACAACAGATATCAGGCAAAACCAGTGCAATTCCCTGAAGAAGCCTTGAAGCCATCTGAGCACAATATCTGGGCATCCTTTGTAACCGGAACATGTTCTAGAAGGGGTAGTGCAAGATCCAGGTGGGCATATCATGTAGGTCCACCAACTCTTCATCCTGTGGACTCTCAAAAACCTAAGACCTCTCTTGCCTGGGACTATAGACAGTACTGCCATCAAATGCTGAGCTCTCTTGGGAAAGTTCTCAGACCCTTGCCACAAAGAGAAACTGTGATGATTTGTAATATCGTTTGCATGTATGTCACCTCTCACTGGACATAGAGCTGCACCTCAGCTCCTGCGTTCCTCACTACCACATTCCTGCCAAGACAGAAGAATCCAAGTCTCTCAAGTACACTCAGCCTCTTTCCCCTATGGCCACCTGCCATCCAACACCTTTCCCCACTGGCTCTGGGTTCTGCTGGGATCTTGGTTACAGGTGCAAAGCCATAGTGAGGACGAAGAGAGCTGCCGGCCCAACAGTCCCAGACACCCCCACCTGTACCAGATGTGCCGGCAAAGACTCAGGCAGTAAGTGGGTCTCTCCCTCCTCTCTCTCTCTCTCTTTCCCTCCCGCCCTCCCTCAGGCAGTGATTCTCAGACCTGGCTGCATATTGTGATTGCCCAGGAAAATTTTTTTAAATACCCATGACGAAGGGTCTCACATCCTGTGATTCTGATTTAATTAACGTGGCATGGAAACCAGTGCCTGACCTTTTGTTTTTAAGCCCCTCAGGTGATTCTACTATGGCTGGTTAGATACTTCTTTAGTTCAGTGGTTCTCAGACTTCAGCATCAGAATCACCTGGAGGGCTTATTGAACTACAGATGTCTGGGCCCAAATCCCAGAGTTTCTGATTGAGTAGCCCTGGACAGGGCCCAAGAATTTGCATTTCTAACAAGTTCCCAGGTGATGCTGATGCCACTGGTCTTATAATCACAGTCTAAGAACTGTTCTGGGGTAAATTCTGTATAACCTTCATATTCCAAACGTAGCCTGCAGACTGGCAGCCCTATAGCATCACTTGGGATTTTGTTAGAAATGTAGAATCTCAGACCCCACCCCAGATCTCAGGAATCACAGTTTTATCAAGACCCTTAGGTGGTTTATTTGCATGCTGAAGTTTGAGAAGCATTGCCGGAGTTTTTAACCATAAAGAGCTACGTCCTGGCTCCTGCTTAGGGCTACATTCTAATCAGCCCACATCACCACATGGGGAAGACCCCATGTATCTCACAGCTATGTTCCCCTAAACTCTGAGCTCCTTCCAGTAGGTCTGATGTCCATAGTTCTCCTTCCCTTGTCAAAGAAGGATAACAAATCTCACATAGGTGGTTATTGCAGCTAAAATGTCTTTCCTTTCAATGCGAGTTTGAGTATTAACTGTGTCAGAGGTATCCCTTTGAACGCTTTGGCTAAAGATTCATTATTTAAACTAAGTATATGTGAGGCTCCTGTAGTCTTTACCACCTATCCCCTAGGACCATAGAGAAGATGGCATCAGGAAAAAATTTTCTAAGATAGCAGGACTTGAAATCCTTCTTGAATTAAGTCAATGAGTCTTGCTTAGAGTTCCTTCCATTTTGAATCTCTTAGTACTATTGACTGCACTTCCTTGCCCAATAGTCATTTTGGGTCAGTACTCTAAATTTACTGTGTTACTTGTCCAGAATCACAGAGATCTTTACAATTCTAGCTCTTCTAACTTTCTGTGATTGTAGAGCCCTAGTTGCTTTTCTTTCTCTCTTACTCATTACTTTCATCTCCAGATATATAAATTGTATGTATACAGTAGTCACTCACAAAAGAAGTAAATATCAGAAGGCAGCAATATATTATATATAGTTGGGAGAAGTTTAGGATATGGAGTCAAATGACCTTTCTATACTTACTCAATGGTCTTGTAAAAATCACTTAATTTTATCCTACATAAGAGGAGACTAATAATAATTGTGTGTGTGTGTGTATGGACTGGACATTTATGTAGAGTTTCAACCCCTTATAGAGAGTTCGTGAAGGCAGTGTAACATATTAGAACAACAATGGTGTTGCTGATTTTAGAAAAGGTAATCATGGGCATAAAATATTTAGATCAGTGATTCTCAGTCCTACAAGGTTTTTTTTAATTGCTATTTCCTGGACTCCAACCAATAGAGTTAAATGCAAATCTCTAAGGTTTGGACTTGGGCATCGTTTATTCTTCTTTTAAAGCTTTCCTATTGCTGCATAGCAAACCATCTAAAAGGTAGTGGCTTAAAGAAAATGTTTCTTATTTCTCACTATTTTGTGGGTTTACTGGAAGATTCCCATGTTTGTCTCACCTGGGCTCATTTATGCAGCTGTTTTGGACTATTTGGCTGGGCTGGATTGGAAGGTCAAAAATGGACTCCCCCACATGTCTGGAACCTTAGTGTTGACTGTCAAAGGGAGCCCTCTCCATGTGGTGTGTCTTTCTTTGATAGTCTAGCTTGTCTTTCCTATTTTGCTGAATTCCTAAATTCATCAAAAACTGAAATTCCAATGCTTCTATTTACGGGTATGTTGCAAGTTTCACAACGTCCCCTTTACCACATGTTATTGGTCAAATCAAGTCACAAGATCAAACTGAATTCAAAGGGAAGGAAAAACAGACTTTTTTTTTTTTTTACATTTTTATTCATTTTTGAGAGACAGAGGGAGACAGAGTGTGAGTGGGTAGGACGGAGAGAGAGAGGGAGACACAGAATCCAAAGCAGGCTCCAGACTCTGAGCTGTCAGCACAGAGCTCAACATAGGTCTCAAACTCATGAACCACAAGATCATGACATGAGCCGAAGTCAGACGCTTAACCGACTGAGCCACCCAGGCATTCCCAGACTCTATTTTTTAATAGGAGCGGCAAGATCACATTGCAAAAAACCATGTGGATGGGAGGGTTGTCATGCCATCTTTACAAACGGTCCATCACGATGATCTCAGTGCACCGTGAGGATTAAGAATAACTGCTTTCATGGGGCGCCTGGGTGGCTCAGTCGGTTGAGCGCCTGACTTCGGCTCAGGTCATGATCTCACGGTCTGTGAGCTCAAGCCTCCCTGTCGGGCTCTGTGCTGACAGCTCAGAGCCTGGAGCCTGCTTCGAAATCTGTGTCTCCCTCTCTCTCTGCCCTGACCCTGCTCACACTCTGTCTCTGTCTCTCAAAAAGTGAATAAACATTAAAAAAAATATTAAAACAAACAAAAAAAAAGAATAACTGCTTTCATTAAAGGGCTTAATCCTCACATATTAAAGATACACTGGGGGTAAGTTTTCATTCTATAGCTAACTCAGACTCAGCCACAGCATACAAATTTGAAAAGGAAATTAATTGCTAGACTTACCACATTAAAATAGAAACTGTGGAGTCTGTGCTCCACAGCTAGGTTTCTTTGCCACTGACTTAATTTACTCTGAAATACAAAGCTTTGTGCAAGTGTTATTTGTCCAGCAGATGTCAGCCTCACACAAGAAAATGCCAAGATGTCCGGCAAAGCAGGCCGTATGCAGGTTCTATAATGTTATACTTTCTGGGCAGTACCTACAACACCCAGGACACCGGTTCCTCTCCCAAAACTGTCCTACAGGGAAAAAGTATTGTTAGGAGTTGTAAATTTTAGATAAGGAATCAGATTCTGTTTTCTGCCAGGGATATGTGGTTAGAAATGATGTATTTCCCTTATTCTAAGGCCTGCATTTTTCCACATTTTAATATCTCTGAAATAGAATGGGTCTTACAACTGACAGTGCCAATGTCTATTTTTTATTCCTCCTTAGTGAAATATAAAATAAAGGAGTCTTGCAAAAGATGGTTTCTCAGATTCAGTGAAACACAGCAACTTTAGGAATTAAATGTACTTAACTCTCTCGAGTAGTTGAGGAAATGATTTTGCAGGTTGCCCTTCTATGATTTCCTAGAAGACTCCGAGATCTCTGCTCCACTGACACAGTCTTTGGCAAGCGGGCCACGGTGGTTCCCAAATCTTTTGGACGTTCCATAAATTTGTTTCATCATCTTTCCACAAAGCTATGAATTATCTCTCTCTATTCACTCTTCTATCATCCTTTAAGACATCACAAGAAGGGGGCAATACCTGTGAAAGCACCTCAGGAGTGCCAAGATTAAAGACTGTGTGATAAATATGGAAGGGGGAAGTTCACTCACCACCTTCTAAGGCAGAGCTAGTCTGCCTCCAGGACCTGTAATTATCTCTCCCAAGGACAAATGATCTCCCAGGAGCTCCGTATCAAGCTTCGCGTTCACCTACTACTCGTCATCAGGCATGAGAGGGGTGTGAGCCTGGGTAGGAAAGGATAGCAGCCCCCAGCCAGACATTGAGTCCAGCTGTACAGTCCTCACAATGCACAAAAATACTCAAAGAGGCAAGCAGGGGTGGAAATCCAGCTCTCCTGTGCTTACCATCCAAAATCTCAAAGGTCTTTATCTTCTAAGCCGAGT